ATTGTGTGAAAACCTGCCTACTAAGTGAATTTCCATTTGCCTGCATTGATTTTCAATTAAATCTATTTATATAACATTAGGTTCAAGTACCTAGGTTTGTTTGCTGCTACAGTACAAGGAGGCTAATAAAGTTTGTTTTTTAGTAAAATATTAATAGCTTAGAATAAAATAAATTTTAAACTCTATATCAAAAGTCTAAAGAGAAATTGGAAAACTTTGTGTTTAGAGGGTCAAAAATGAGAAAACCCAATTGGCTCAGAGTGGCGTAATTCTGTGGCTGATCAGCTGATTGTGAACTGTGACGGCGCCAGCTGTGATTCAGCTACAGCTGTGTAATGTTGGTTGCGTTGTTGCATTGGACTGTACTGACTGTAGTGACTGTAGTCCTGGTAGTGACTAGCGAGTCTATCCCATCTGTGCTACGATATAGGCGAATAGCAGACGTGTTTTATTCTTCTATACTGTGTTTTGTATTTAAATTATCATCATCACTTTGACTTTGGGACACGCATAGACTAACCAACAAAAGTATACTTCTCATCTCATTGTAAATTTTGAAGCTCGTTTTCCGTGTCTAATTCATGTCCGGTGACACTGATCGCTAGTGTTGACGAAATTGTATTTCTATTATTTTAGAGTTAATCTAATGATTTGTGCTTACTGTTTGGTTATATAACTTGGGTACGAGTTATTGTTTATGATAAGATCGTTTTATTTGAACGAGGTTTTAAATGGCTGAAATAACAATAAAAGAATTGTAAACAAAACACAACCTCTACATTACACGTACAGATTCTGTTACTTACAGAACTAACAATATAACTGGCTACAGCTGATACATAAGGGTGAGAAATCTACTAAGGTAGTACGTTTATCCATGGTACACGATAATCATAGTATTTTACAGGCACTTCCAAATTACCAAAATATTTAATAAAATTTGTTCAGAAGGACTTTTAAGTACACATGTCTAAAAAGAGAGGCTAAATGGTACATCTCACACACCCCTATTGTAAATTTTTTTCATAACTATGAAACTTTGATTTTTACATTAAATTACTGTTTTCGTAGTAAATACGATTTTCCTAGATTTATAAAAACTATAATAAACATTTTCAAAGAAAATTTGCCAGTGTAAAAGGACAAAATTCGTAAACCACCTGATAATCTAACAATTAGATTGGTATTCAACCCAAGTGAGCTAGATCTAGATTATGTATAGCTTACAATAAACCTGTGAAATTGAATATTTTTTTAATAAACCAAAATTTTTACATCAAGACTTAAAGAACGGGTAAAAACAGCTCAACTTTGAAAATCTTTGTAAACTTATAAACCAAATTGCATCTCAAAAGCTTTACCTACTAAACGGTGAATCAAAACCAATCCTACCTTAGCCAAAAACAGCTCAACTTTGAAAATCTTTGTAAACTTATAAACCAAATTGCATCTCAAAAGCTTTACCTACTAAACGGTGAATCAAAACCAATCCTACCTTAGCCATTTTATGGCGAGTATACGTTTCAATAATAATAAATTGAGGAAATAAAATAGCTAAAATTAAATGTTAATTCAATGGAGACGTGTTAATTTTTTATCAAAACAAATCCTTTATTAGACGAAATAAATCTGTTTCTTCTTTATTTGGGAAAAAATGAACAAGGTGGGAGTAACCATGGTTTTTATAAGGTTTTTATATATACGAAATTAGACATCCTGAAACGCCACACTAGGCCTATTTTAGTTTTTACCCTGTACAGAAAACGTGTGTTACCCATACACTCTTCACCCCTGATAGAATACTACTAAATGTTACCTTTAACTTTCTATACTTTCGCCGCCAGTTTCTCCCGCCATATTGCCCCCCCCCCCACACAGGTGTCAGCTACCCGACGCCAGTGTCAAGTTACCAGGGGAGGGTGTTAGGGGTGTTCCGTTACCATGACTACCATGGTTGCTATGTAACCCTACACCCAGCTTCAGATATATTGATCACATTACATTATGGCTGTATTTTATTTCACACCTCGCCCCTTTTGACTTGCAAGGTGGCGAATCTAAGATATAACTGTGGAGGTAGAGTTGTGTTTTGCAAGGATATTTTTAAAATATACCATTTTAATTATTTTTGGCCTACAAACACAGTTTATTTATCTATTGAAACTTAATCACATTCTATCGTAGATTTTTTAAAGAGGCTGAAAAACTGTTTTGCTTATATACAATCAATACAACTTCCTTAAATTCAGTACTTCTGTAGGGAAGGAGGATGTTTTGAACAGTATGAATGGTATGATATGGGATTGACGAGAAAAAAATTGTATGACTTATTTAAAATCTAGCAGTGGTCTATGTTTTGTCATTTGAGTGGTATATTTCATAATAACCTCCCGACTTTTCACTAAATATTTTGTTAATTTATTTTCCCGCCTTATTCTTTTATTTTTTGCAAACTAAAAAAATAGGGTAATTAAAATAATGAAATTTGCCCAAAATGTTTATTGTATTTTATTTTATTATTAGGATCATTGTATGGGATCAGAAGTAGTATCTATAGTATTTATTTAATACTATACGTTCTTTTTTAAACCGTATTCTAAAACCAACACACAAATAATTAAACGATGAAAATTTTAAATCATCAGTGTTTGTTAGAGAAACCATGCTTATTTTCCCGTGAAAAATTCTGTTTTTAGAGTTAGATAGGGTTTTGGAAAAGTCACTAGTATACAATTACTGGACATAGTATGGCCTATCCAAAATTCTATTTAGTTTAACAGCAACTGCTATTCAACTGCCACTAAAATTACGAACCCTGTATCCAGTTTTTCTTTTAGTCTGATCAGCTGTTTGTTATTAAACTGCCACTAAAATTACCATTCCTGTATCCAGTTTTTCTTTCAGTCTAATCAGCTGTTTGCTATTCGACTGCCACTAAAATTACCAACCCTGTATCCAGATTTTCTTTCAGTCTAATCAGCTGTTTGCTATTCGACTGCCACTAAAATTACCAACCCTGTATCCAGTTTTTCTTCAGTCTAATCAGCTGTTTGCTATTCGACTGCCACTAAAATTACCAACCCTGTATCCAGATTTTCTTTCAGTCTAATCAGCTGTTTGCTATTCGACTGCCACTAAAATTACCAACCCTGTATCCAGTTTTTCTTCAGTCTAATCAGCTGTTTGCTATTCGACTGCCACTAAAATTACCAACCCTGTATTCAGTTTTTCTGTCAGTCTAATCAGCCGTTTGCTTTTCGACTGCCACTAAAATTGCCAACCCTGTATCTTCTTGTAGATTTTCTGATTTTCTTGTAGTCTGATCAGCTGTTTTATTAAATTACTGATAAAATTGCTTTAACATATTTTTAGTTTCATGTTGGATATTTTACACAATTAGGAAAGAACACTCAGTAAACGTAAAACGTAACTAACCTTTTATTGGCAATCACATGATGATGTCATAAAACTACTTGCAGTACCAATTCTAGGAAATTTTAGTAAAACAGATCATTATGTTAGCCCATATTGTAGAAAACTTTACATAGCCTATAGGCCTATTGTTTATAACTTATAGTTATTGATGATCGAACTTGCATCGTGATTGTTTTTGTATAATCTTAAACACTTATAACTAATAATATGTAATCACAGTTTCACAAAAAAATTATCATTCTTATTTAACTCTCTAAAGCTAAATCATAAAATTTACTCAACTAAAATATCCTACTTCTCATTTGAGATCCTTTATTTCAGACGAGTATTTCTTACATTGGCTATGATTTGAGTATTCTTCAGATACAAATTTAAATTTAAAATCTACTCAAAGATTTAGTGGACGGGCAAAAAGTTCCAATGATATAAAATTTAAAAGTATACAAGTAATATACAATCTTGACAATTGCATGAATGCATTTTTATATTTAAAAATATGAATTGACTAATCGTGGAGGGACTATGATTTAACAATCAAAATTCTATTCTATACACTAATTAAAACTATGGACTTAAAGTTATTTCTTTGGTACATTTAATATTTACAGTTATATGATACAGTCTTAGAAGCTAAATGATCATTTACTTGTGATATTGGAAATTCTACTAATAATTCCAGTTTATTGATAGGTAAAAGCAAATATGATTTATTTTAACAAATAATTTAATGAACAATTTTAAGTATTTGTACGTGCTTTAAATGTATAGCTTTGTGTTTGACCAAACAACTTTACCATACACTCATCACTACAGAAATCAATTCAATTCCTCACAATAGTTCTATGTTTTGTTGAAAATATTTAATTTTGGTACCAGTTTGCGATCAAATAGCTTTCACAAGTTTATACTATTACAAATATTTACAAATGTACAAATATTGGTTAGACTTAGATGATGCTTTTGTTAATCTCCTAAGGTAACTGGTCATCTAATTTGTTATACAAAATATGTACATTATAATAATTACAGTGGTTTTTGGGAATACATCTTATTTACACAACTGAGCGTTGAAATTAAAAATCGTCGACTGTCTTACGTATCACAGTACTAAAGTAATAAACCGAAGGTAAAATTACAAATTAATACAGTAGGCTATTTAAGTAAAAAAATATCAATCAACATTACAAGTTTCAATCTTAGAAAAAATTCAAAAAATTGAGTGGTGTGGAATAAGTTATTTTGTATTTTTCTCTTCCCAATAAGTTCCTGATCAGGGGAGCGAGCTAGTCTAGTGGTAAAGCGCGGGAATTTGGTCCACAATGTACCGGGTTCAAATCCCGCCAATCTCCAATTGATTTTATTAAAGTGATAATGACGTCCTTTAATGTAAAAAACAATCCCGGGCTAAAATGTTCCCTATTAGTGACGTTGTTATTCATAAATTACTACATAACATGGTTTTAACCTCAGAAGTCTATCATGTCAATGCTCACACTCGAAGAGGCCCCCACAGTTCAGGTTCACACTCATGGATGCTCACAAAGTTCAGGTTTACAATCACAGATGCTCCCAAAGTTAAGGTTTACACTCAAAGATGCTCCACGGTTCAGGTTCACACTCACAGACGCTCCCACAGTTGAGGTTTACATTCAGAGATGCTCCCAAAAGCTGAGGTTCACACTCGTAGACTCTCCAACTCACGTGTGCTGGCTTGAGGTAAGAAACTGCTCGTATCCATGGTACGACGCCTGGGCTACCATGTGATGGAAGCTAGGGTGCACGCCCCCCTCGCTCTTGACCCCGTCCTTGTACATGAGGTCTAGGAGACCGCCGGACGACGGGCTTAGTAGACACGTGGCGTCGCTAGAGATCACCAACTCGCTGGAACAATGGATTTGATTACAATTTGGATGTATTTATCATCAATTAATATTGATTAGTCGTTGGTAGTGTAAAGAGACCTTATTTCGTGTTTAAGAGGAATTCACGACATTTTCTCTCTGATTGATATTTTGGCATTAAATAGGCCCTAACTCTATAGTGTTATATATTCAATGTCTTTGGTAATTTACATGGTTGCAAGATTACATTAAAAAATGTAGTTTATAGGGTATCAAATATGTAGGTTTTCTGGTACGCAGTTTGCAACAAACTGTTAAAATACTTCAACATTATTATGTTTTTCTTGAAACTAAATATCACCGCTATCCCTTTTCCCAACACCGGCAGCAGTTAGAAACGACGCGCTTCTGCTAATTACTTTTTTGCCCCGCTTAGTCCAAGTGTGTGCGTGTGCCGACCCAAACTGACCATTTCCGCTCCCTATTAATAAAAGCAATCAATTTCAGTAATTCCGTTTCAGTGGGAATGATTATGCTGTTTACAATAAAATTAAATAATCAATTATGCGTATTTTAAGTTGTATGATACGAAAATTAAATTTACTGCTTGCGAATGTAAAGGAAACCATCGAAAAATTAGTAGCCTATGTAATCACGCCATCATCTCAAAGTTTGTCTTAAGAATTTAAAATAATTTTTTTGTGCTCAGTGAACACGTGGTCTGTGATGTGGTTGCGCGAATATTAGAACAGAAACGGTATGGGTCTCCAACATAAATAAATGACGTCACTAACCCGAATGTCAATCTAATAGCCGTCACAGCTGGTTTAAATTTTGTTATTGTTCCATTTTTAGAAAATGACATTTTTACTTTCGGGTCAGTTAAATAATTTGTTTATGTTTATGATCCACACAGTTTCTGTTGTAATGTTCTTGGATCCGAAAAGGTCAGTAATATTGTGATGTTTATGAACTAGGTCCAGCTCTTCTTGATCATTTTATGAATTTGCCTGGCTGAAGAAACCGCTGATCCTAGTCAGTAACAAATTTATAAAGTACATGTACATCCCACTCCTACATACAAATCCAGCAAACGCACTCAGGTGTGTGTCACTGCCTTAAATGTAAAGAGTGATGAGTAATATTAAAACGCAGATAAATCGCTGGTTGTTATGCAAAATACCATGGCCTTCTCTAATGGTTGCGGCGAGATAAAAGTGACAACGCCGCACTCCCGGCCTACCAAAGCAGCTGTTGCACTAACTCATTATGGGACGTATGCGCAATGTTTATGTTTACACATTTGTTGTAACCGTTACTATGGCAACAAATAGGGGTCTACAGTATCGCTAGGCTATAGTTTGTGTATTCATTGCGCTAGGCATTTAGTGGGTAATTTAACGTGCGGAAACGGGAAAGCTAGCTTGCTATGAACTAAAATGTTTCTATTTTTAGTTCCTTAGATGTGAAAGGTCTAAATAGAGCAATGTTCTTCAAAATTAATCGGGGTTTTCTTATAGTCTATTTGATTGATATTTTAGTTCACTACAGTCCACAAAGCCTACGTATCAGAGTGTGTTTACTATGTGAACTTTTCAATCTAAATTAATAAAGTGTAACTTTAATTTCCTTTCAATCGCGTAGGCAAACTATGCAAATCGCAGAGGCAACCCCAACCCTCGTTTGGACGTTTTACAATGGTTTTACTCAAAGTTAAAAGTTTTCCACTATAGTGTCTGCCGTGTTGCGTGCTGATACACGACACGGCAGCACGAGTGTAGACTGTACTCAGCGTGTTCCCACGACGTTGCTGACGTAGCTGTGGCTGCAGCACAACAACACATCTGCACAGCTATTGTTGCAGAAGCAGTGCCGCAAGACCCGGTGGTTCAAAACCCAAATAGTTCCACCACGGATATTAGAACAGAAACAGTATAGATCATAAACATAAACAAATTACGTTAGTGACCCGAATTTTATGCTGATGACGTTAACATCTGGTTTGGACGTTTTTTGAAAATTACATTTAAATAATATCAAAAAGATTTCCGAACGTACTTAATAGCGAATCATGCATCAAATTGTACGGTATTGTGTTTGTGTGCTATCGGCCCAGTAATGCCAAAGATTGAAAAGTAATGGACCGATAGTAGTAGCCTATTGGGATATGACGGATCGCAGTGGTTAAATGCAATGTATCCTACTTACAAACTTCCTTTGTGTAGTGGATATTTGTAGAATAACTATTTCATAGGTTTGCCGTCATAACTATTCTAAATTACCTGTCCCAATATTCATAAAATGTAACAAATTATATGTCAATCAATTAATCTCTTGTTTTGTTTACAAATATTATGTTACATGGTGGAATGGCCTCTGGATCGTCTGAATTAACTATATAGTGGTTTAAATTACCTTGTTACTGTCAAAACGATCCTTTGTAGTTAGTAGACTACAGCTGTTTCATGCTACGAATGGAGCACATCATCATCTTCATCTTCTGACCTGATAATGTGCTCCATTCGTAGCATGAAACAGCTGTAGTCTACTAACTACAAAGGATCGTTTTGACAGTAACAAGGTAATTTAAACCACTATATATTATGTTAATTCAATCATGAATTATCGTCTCAAACCTTTTGTTTGTTCTTTTGTCGTCATGTTCGAGTCCAGTGAGCTGAAACCCTACTGGACTGAGGCTGTTTTAGGACTTTGTCCTCTTCAGCCAGGACAGGGAAAGGATTGCAGCTGACGCTGTATCAGAGACGTTTGAATAACGAATAAGTCTAATAACGAAGCTCAATTCTGCAACAGCCGCTGGTTCGGGTTGGGTTGGGCGGTTAAAAAAACCTTTTGGAAACTCTGACCTGAATCACAGAATAAAGTGTTGTGCCTGAATTGAAAATAATCCGTTGCGCCGTGGATCGACTGCTTCCTGTCGCTCACTACAAAAATATAAATGGATCGCCGATCAATATCATCGAAAATGAATACCATTGTTTAACAATAAAGAGTTCTGCTGGAACATTTCGAGTGAACTGATGTTTTTCACACACCCAGTTGAAATCCGGATAATCGCGGGGTTTTTGGAAACTATGCTATAACTCACTGGGAATATATCCCTGCAGATTGACCCACGTGTGTGTGTGTGTGTGTGACGTGCACGTGTTCTCGACCCACGTGCGGAATGGTCAACATGTGTCCGAGACGGTCAGGAGGACTTGAGGCTAGGAATGCATAGCATTTTATAGAGTTTTAAGCCAACAGTCGACTCAGTGGTCCTGGAGTATAATATTGTCAAATTAAATAAACTGTTTATGCGGTGCGTACCGTTACGGCGAAATACGCGATTCCGAAAATTTGTTTCGGAGATGTGCCTATCGTAGTTATGCTGCGTGGCTATCGTGTAAATGTTAATGTATAACATTGAACACATAGTTCATAACGTTCATAACGCTGGTAAATCACATGACAGACTTCGTGAGATGACTAGAATGTAAACAATGTAATAATTTTGTTACTATTCAAATTTGTTTGCAAACTCCCACCCTTTAACGTCGCTACACAATCATGAAAGTAAAACCATTTACGAAATTTCTAAGATTTGAAGACATTGGCTGTTTTGTTTACGTGTGATACCGTTTATTACTATCGTTAATGAAAAATGATTTGGCGATCCTAAAACCTAGACTATGCTACTTAAAACCAGCGACCACAGAATTCTTAAAACTCTACCAATTTTTATAAAAATATCTTCTTCCCTATTGGGTAAATTTGTTAAAACGTGAAAAATATCTGCTTAACAAAAAATCTACCATCCTTGTCAGCTAAGAAAGCTAAAAGATAAGAAAATCAACTCTAAAATGTAATTTTGTATCCTAAACTACGACTCGTTTATATATGTAACTGTCTAATCAAAACGTTATGTTTTTACATGGAAATTACAATTATTGTATACAACTTTCACTGATTCTTCGAGAGATTATACAGTTTTGGTTATTGAAACATGTTGTTCCATTATAAGCTAAGGGATTGTTGTGACTATGTCAAACTACGCTAGTTTTTAAAAATGGATCGTTCACATTATGCTCAAAGAGGATTTACTTTGTCGTATCCATTTCATTTTGTTTATCAGTGACCGCGGAATATGTTAACGATTTATCATTACCACAGAGGAAATAGCACGTGAATAGTGTCTAAGGCCCTCTATTAATCTATGACACTTCTCTAAGGAGCTTTTGATTTTTGAAACATCCGTTTGTTTAGTTCCCGTAAGTTGGACGCTTATCTACTCCAAGCTACTTCACTAAAGCCTATTTATTGTTGGCGAGATGCCCACTGCCCATTGCCCAGGTGTATCAGTCCAGAAGGGTTGTTAGTATAGTAATCTGCGGCGAAGGTTTTGTGCCCGTGTCAAGCTGTTTGCCCAGTCTACAATAATGTTTTCCCGTCTAACAATGCCCCTAAGCTCCTCTTCGCGCTACAAAACCCGATGAGAGGAATCCGTGTCCGCAACCTGTCATGTCATTTCACCGACTGCCCGTTTACACGCAGACGCTGGGCGCTGATGTATTCGTCAACATGTTACGTCTAGAAGATCTATTTGTTAGAAAGACTATCTGTGACTGTGAAAAATATAAGTGTATTGTATTGATTGACGGTGTGTTAAAAATATTGTTATTTTGCTTGGAGATAAGTTTTTCACAAGAGATTTTAGTTTAGCGAATTTTCCATATAGTGATGCTATTAAGGTAGGTGAGACCTGACCCGGGACCAATTTACTTTTCCGTTTTGCTGTCCGTAGCGGCCAAAAACACCAACATTCATATACTTGTTCGTTCTCCGTTAGCACGATAATTGGAGTAAAAAAGTGATCTGATTTTCATTAAATTTGGTACGAACTTGAAAACCTACGAATATTTTATCGATTTCGCGTACAGCACTGACCGTATTACGGAAGCAGAGTTTTATGAAAGGTTGTATAGGGTAGTAAGTGGGTTTTCCATTTTTAAAATCCTAAAAGCACAAAATTTTCGGAGTTTCTTTCTAGACCATTTTGCATAGCTAAAAAAAAAATTAAAGTATATTTAAAGCATTATTGTACGCTTAATGGTTAATGAGAAACTAAAAAGAAACCGCTGCAGCAAACCTGCAGACTAAGCGAATTTTCATTTACCTGACTGGACTAAAATATTTCCTAAAAATTGTCAGATTAATTTCCTATCTGAATAACATTAATTTTAGCGAGTACTAGGTTTGCTGCTACTGGGAAGATATTGAGGTGTGTTTATTTTATTGAATGTTGATAGCTTAGCATGAAACAAACAACATTTCCAAATTTGGTTAAAATATATCCATAAACAAGTAAACTACAACAGTTTATTTATTCTCCATAAGAATAACATAACAATTTTAAATTTGCATTTTTATTCAATCTCCATAACATAATAGTTGGGAATTCAACAATGCTTCAACATACCAAATAATTTCCTTTTTTAAGCTCTACAAAATAGTTTCCAGGAGAGAAATGATGAAATTTCGTATTTTAGGGTAAAATATGGGGAAAATGAGGAATGGGTACTTTGATCCCAACCCCCATTTTTACCCCATAAAACCCCCCATAAACCCCCGTTCCCATAGTCTAATTATGCTGGTTTGCGAACTCGTTCGAATAAGCGTAGGTTTACACGTCTGTATAAAATGTCATCAAAATCTGATAATTTTTGCTCGAGTTATTGCGCTAACGGACACACACATAATATATGAATTTGAACGGTTGGTGTTTTTGGTGGTGTTTTTGGCCTCTGGGGACCTCAAAACGAAAAAGTAAATCGGTCCCGGGTCTAGGTATTACCATGAGACCTACGGTAATAGCTTATTCCCTATATGGGAAATTCGCTAAAAAAACTGTAAATTTAAAAAAGGCCCTACGATATATGAAATTAGATAATACAAACATGCCCTATGAAATAGCACTTAGCATTTTATTTGGACAGCAACGCAATAATCCGTAATTTTTGACATTTGCATAAAATTGTGTCATTTTGTTAATTCGATGCAAAAACCTAATGCTGAAGAACATTGTATGGGTAGTCCATATAAGACCCGTGGTTTTCGTGAAAATTGATTATTTATATGGTCTATCTGCTAAAGGGATTCATCAATGGTATTGCATATTTCCAGCCTGTCACAAATAAAGGATTGAAGAATTTGCCTTGATCTAAATCAAGTATATTATATTGGTTTATCGAGATAACATTTTAATATTTCGGTCAACCCAAAAGGAGTAGGTAGCCTACTTGCACTCATAATTATTGTTTAATGATGTGAGATAACAATATATAATTTAATAAGTTTGCATTAATCTTAACAAGAATATTACAGAAGTATGTTAGCATATAAAGATTGAAAGCCAATTTAGCCAATGGTGCGATCAATGCCTTTGATAGTCTTTGTACGAATCCACTAGATTCTCGTCTACAGAATAATAGCTTTTATTTTATGCCTATTGCACACTGCTAATGACAAATAAAATTGCCGATAAATCATCACCAGATTCTTTCCGGACACTATACAATCGATAGTGCTCGTCAAGACGAGTGTAACGAGTACAGTATATTATTGCATATGTTAAGAAGATTACGAAATCGAGTTTTTTCGGTGAACCTTGATCTCCCAAAAACCAATTTTATCTGGTTTAATGAAATTCTAATAAGTTTTTCGTCGCGGTTTACTCGATGCTTTAATGTTTGACATCTGACAGTTTAAAACAAAATAACTTAAGTATTTTAATCAATAAAATTCCAAAATAAACCCCATCTTTCATTAATACTTAACTAATATGACGTACAAAACATTTCAAATCTTGTTTCTCTACAAACAATAACTTAAAATCGGTTGAACAATACAGTTTTGTCTATAATACATTCTTGATAAATTTATGCATTAGCCTACAGGTCTATTTTGTTTTTTCTATCGAAAGTTTTATTTTGCATATCACTCCTATTTTAAACCATTTTACCTACGACCGTTTTTTAAAGTAGTCGTTTCAGTTGAGTTCTTAGAATGGAAAAGTTTCACATAACAGCATTGTTTATTTATTTATTTTATTTGTAAACGGTTGCACCATTTTTACATAAAAAATACAATAATCTTACATACAGAAGAAGCAGAAAAAAAATCACAGGCCAGTACAAAAGTAGTGAAAAAAACTGGAAAACAAGACATCAATAACAAGACATAAAAAGATAAATAACAACTAGGCTATAAATAACAAACTATAAATAACAAACTATGAATGCTATGAAACTATGTTTACTTTCATAACAGCATAGTTTTAATCATAACAACAAGGTACAGGACCAATGAGATTCAAGGATTGAAAGAGAAGACGTAAAATTGTAATGATTCGAACTTTAACTAATCAGCTGTTCAGGCTAATTTAATTGTTGAGTTTTAATGGTCGGTACAATGTTTCGTTGCATCACTGTCAGTGACAATGAGAGGTTATAAACGAAAACATAACCACTCTTAGAAGATGAGTTGTGATTTTTAGTAATTAATCACTGACGTAGGTTTTTATGGGGTAAAAATTGGGTTTTCTCATTTTTTACCTTTAAAACACAAAATCTTTCAATTTTTCTCCAGACCTTTTTAAAGAGTTTAAAAAACAAATAATTTAGTATATCAAGTGTTTTCGTGCGGTGGTTGGTTACGGAGAAAATTCAAAAAGTTGTTAATTTAAAATTCCCATGTTATTCTTATGAAGAGTATTATAATATGTTGTGTAGTTGGCTTGTTTATGGATATATTTTGATCAGACTTGGCGGATTTATTTTATTTATTTCATATAAGCTACTGATATTTTAATAAAAAACACACTTTTTTTGTTTCCCTGTAGTAGCTAACCTAGGTACTTGTTAAACATAAACGTTAATTTAATAGATTAATTGAAAATCAATCCAGGCAAATGGAAATTCGCTTAGTCGTCAGGTTTGCTGCAGCGGGGGTTTTTATTAAAGCTAAGGCTCGTACCTTAAATTTTCTACTAGTGCCGTTAACACTATCTTTACGCAATCGTCGCGTAAACTACTATTAAAGCATTCCTAACAATAATCGTATTGAAATTATGCATAGGCTTATTGAAATGTCGTTTTAAATTTCTTTACGTCACATTGGTAGTAAACTTATAGCAATAATAATAAGTTTTGACAGTTTTAGAGACTGATGATGTGATCCGCAGAGTATTGTATTTTCCGTAATGAATAAACTTATAGCGATTTAACCTGACGATGTTGCCAAAGTTTTTTTACAATTAAAAACCACTCTTAGTTAACTTACGTTTGACATTTGAAAATGTTCATAGTTTTCAAATGACTTCAAATGACTAAATTATAGTTTTGTATACTGTATAATCATTTGTTTTCAAGATAACATAGAATATCACTAATTAAGTGTACGCGTGTAAGTAACTGATCAGTTGAATTGATATAAAATTCAATATTTTGTGCCTGTTGTAACCTATGGTCTGGAATAGACAGTATTATTAGATTACAAACAGGCCAGATTAAATTATAGTTTCTGATTTTTATTTTGATAGCTGAGATAGGAAACATTTATTAACTTTAATATATACACGGATGTTGGATCTACGGTGTTTGAAGAATAATATCAATAGGTACTCTATAGCCTGTATGGTGGAATGTGTTTCCTGACCCGGAGGTCTACTTACTGGTCCTACCATTGGCAAGTCCCCAGGTCAGGAGACAGGTACCATCGTACAGACTATAACAAGTTATTATTTACATCCCCAAGTGTAAGTGTACTTACTTGCGTTGCTGCGGCGTCCTGTCCCTCTGTCTCCTGTTCTTGAACCAGTTGCTGACCTGTGTCATAGTGAGCCCAGTCGTCGTCGCCAAACACTTCTTCTCGTCCGGAGTAGGATATCGGTTTCTCTCATAACACTCCTTGAGCGCGTTGCGGCTCTTCTCCTTGAAACAATACACCGTCTCCTCACCGTCCCAGATGGTCTTCGGCAGCGGGTATTTCTTCCTCAGTCTGTACTTGTCTACAGCTCCTAGACTCCGTCCTCGGATGTTCTCCGCCTCCTTGTAGTGCGCCTTGAACCACATCTGCTGCAGCTGCGGGTGATGCCTCGGGTCGAAGTTGTGGCTCTCCAGGATGGCGTAAAGTTCGTGGTAGACTCCCCGGTGGTAGGCGACGATCGCTCGCGCTCTCAGCACCGACTCCTCTCCTCGCATGAGTTGATTTGGCGGTAACAACCAAAGGAACCTCGCGAGTTTCTCTACATCACCTGATTGTATGAGGGCTTCGCACAGACAGCTGATTTGCTCCGCGGAGAACCCCGGGAGTGGTCGCTTGGGCCCCAGGTACTCGGTCATGTCCTGCAGGACAGCTGGGGAGCTGATGGATCCTTCGCTGAGGTCCGAGGAGTAACTGCCTGGGGACAGGGTGGTGTTTTGCGGAGACGACATTACCTCTGGGTATTCCTTCCCATAACCTATCACTACCGCCCGACTACCGAGGGTGACGTCATCGCAAAAAACTAAGAAAATTGACTACAAATTACGCGTCTGTCAGTGAGACTCGTTTAAATCACTCGCGAGCTCGCCCGAGCAGAAGATGCAATTTCATAACCTCAACAACAGGTGGGACACGACTGTGACAGTGGCGGGAGACGTCTGTGTGTCTAGTGAAGGGGCGGAGCTAACACCTGATTGGTCCTCCCCTCCACCCTTCTCCCCCACCACCAGTGTCATCCCTGTATTCTCACGCCTCTATCAAAGCGTTATTGTCCCCTTTGTACCATCAGAATTACGATTGTTGCTGGCCCAATTGGGACGTGAAAACGCCGGCATGTCAGTCATGGGGACTTTTTTTTTAATTTTTTGTCATTCTTAACGCCTTGGGTGAATGGATTTTTGTGAGGAGATTTTAGATAGTTTTCGCACCATGTTGAAGCTAGGTCTGAATGTAGACACGTGTGTCTTTTGTTCAAATTAATATTGCACCTAGATGTTTACAAGAAATTAAACAAAACGTATTCCTAAATTCATCTCGAGGACAAAAATAAATTAAATAAATCGGCCCCCACTTATGTTCAAGGTGAATAAATAACATTGTAACAATCTTTTTGAAAACATTATTTGGTTTACAAACACACCATTATTTACATAAACATAAATTTCGTCTATGGTCTTTTTCTATTGAATATTTTTCGAAAAAAGCAAATTAAACATTTTATACTACGTGTTTGTTGTTGTTATTTTTAGTAATTGGAGAGGCATTGATAGTATTTGCAAGTAAAAGCTCAAGTATTAACTCAAGAGCTGCCACAAGAGAAAATGATTTAATATTTCACAATAATTTTTCCACACGTCCTGTTTTTCTTCTGAATTTAAAGGTGAAAATACGATTTTGTGCCTAGCCTACTAGTAACAGCAATAGTTGTACAGACTCGTATTAATATAATCGATTAAAAGACTAAAAGACATTTTAGTATGAGGAAAGAGTTATTTCGTGAAGCGCGTCTATATAATGACAATGTAACTGTCATGTACAGTATTTTTAATCTTTTATTGATTAAATAGATTTGTTACTTATGCATGTATATTTAAAATAAATTAACAACTATGGATTTCTAAGCTGTCGAATGCAAACGATCTCTTACTTGTAATGGGTTTGTACGACAATCGAAACGCATTTTGATTATCCACCACATGCATTGTGTTATGTTTCACTTATCCCTGGCGAGAAATAAAATAAACATTTTTTCTAATTTCTAGAGTAAAAAAATAATTTACAGTACCGTGATTAAATACTGTTTTACCGCTACAGTTAAGTTATTAATTGAATACAGTTGCATCTTAATAGAATAGACAATATTTGGTTACATAACGATTAGTCGTGAATCAAATCTAGTTCTGAAATTAGCCTATATGTTCCTCTCATTATTTTACTCTCATTTTTTTACTCTCAACTACGAAACCTGATTTTTAGTCTAGAACTATTTTGGTTCGGGACTAAGTTATTGATAGTTTTGAAATATTTTGGCCAAAACTCCCAAATCCGGCTCAAATTGGTTTATAGTATGACAGCATACCATAATAAAAATATAAACTAATAATACCCTAACAATTATTAGTCTTAATTTCACCTAGGAACCTTTACAATGTCAAGTGATACAATATCAAGCCATTTAAAGTGAGATTATGAAGGATTCCAAATTTGAATGGACTCATCATGATAGGTATAACTTTACCCAACTAGACGGAAACAGCTTAACAATGTTTAGAATAGACACATGTTCAATTGAAAACTATTTATTTTACTTTTAAATACCTTATCCGCTATCGTGTTAAAAAACAAACTACGCTAACACAACCGACCCAATTGAACATTACACATTGATCGTCAGTTTTCACATCAATCGTGTTCATTTCCCAAATGTTTTTACTCGGGCCACTTATAGCCTCTATTATTGCATGTGTCGCAACGATCGATTGAGAAACAGCCGATTCCTGTAACGAAGATCCGATGTAAGGGATCATTGTTTCAACCCACTTCCCGCGGTGTCGGTTTTGGTATTTCACCTCTGTCTAGGCCAGTGTTACACCAACAATGACACATTTGTCCATAAATTGGCGTGTTTACGTAGCTCGTGGGAATGGTATTTTTGTCAAATCGCATAATCTATATACTTAATACAATAAGGGCTTTTCTTTGTAACATCCCTATTTGACCCGTCCTACCAAATCGATGTATACCATTGTGGTGTGATTAGCTTATTATCTAGCGCACCTGTGAATGATAGTCTAATTAAAAATGTTATATCCATTAAATAATTCGTCTCCCTTACGTTTAATATATTTCTAGAGTCCATTTTCAAAAATTCTGTTATGCTTACAACGGTTCTAAATGTGAAATTTAATCTAACAGGTGATATTAAATTTGAATGTTTAATCCAAGATTGTAAACAAGAGATTGAACAGTTGATGAAAACATTGATTTTAAATAGTCTACCTTCATAAATAATTATATCCTGATTGGGGTGGGCGAATCAATCTTTATGGTATAGATTAACTATTAAAAAAATAATTTATTGTGAATGAGAAGTTTTATTCGTCTAATAACTGTCTTGAACAAGCATGGCCTTTCAAAGGTAAAAGGGTATTATTAGTTAGTTTTGCCTAAAAAAAAAAAGCGTCGAGCCCCATTAAAATGCGCTATTTGCGCACGGTCCCCTTGTAACTCAATTATTTAACCGAAGTAAAGCTAAATTTGCATTGGTTTATGTAGTCTTTTGATCTGTATGAACTTATCATGAACCTGTTCTTCGATTTGATTTCGGCAACTATTCTCGTAGAATAGACCATATTTATCATCTTTATAGATAAACTGAACGCAATTTTTCGCAAAGCAGCCAATACAACTGCGCAAAGCAGCGCAACTGTTTTTAATACAAGCGTTGTGGGGCTAAAGTATGTATTTTCATTCCAAGGGCAGATAAGAATCGGCTGCGTCAAAGATATCAGCCGTACTTATTGAAACTGTGAAATTCGTCCGCTGACTTTGCCGGTGAAAATAATTCTCAAACATATGACCGCATTGTTATTACAATGTTTGTGCGTACGATCGCGTCACATTATACATTTCACTACAATAAAATGCCGTTTTATTGAAATTCTACAAATTGAAATGTAAATATATAGGCCCATAAATGAAATTTGGATTTGGATGTAATACCTATTGTGTTGGCGGAGTAACTGATGCATACATAACTGCACTTATAACGGTTCGTGTTTCATATCAAAACTAGATTGACACATTTTTAGCTATTTTATAACAACGTACAAAATTTATGTTTGATTTAACAGTGGTCGCCACCTTATTTCCACGAATAGTAGAAAAGAAACGGTATGGGTCGTATGGAAACAAATTTTGTCACTGGCCTGAACGATATACTAAAAACCAAAACATAAACATAATATGGTTTGGACATTTTTGACTCTTCAATTTCAATAACAATACAAACCTGTTTACTTTAGGGCCATCATTTGTTCTAATTCGTTCATCTTACCATATGATTTTAGTTTCATCTTTCGACTTATGATTTTGATTTTAATCGATAAAAGTCTACGTTATACATTTTAAAAATTACGCAATCATAGAACTCTTAGCCCACTTTTCAGGATCCTTCCTTTGGACAGTATCTTTAACACAGTATCCTTTACACTTCATCCTTGGTAAGGTTTTCAATTTCATTTCAATATTTAATAGTTTAAACCTCATTGTTATCTAAATCTATCTAATCTTATGTTTGTTTTTACTCTGTATTAAGATTTTGTGACAACATTATGTTGCATTACCTTAATTTGGGATACCATCTTGATTCATTGTAATAGTTAAATGACGAAATCCATTGGGATAGATAAATTGATTAATTAGGTAACGCTGGTATCCTATAGTGTCAAAATATAAGCAGTATGGCGGCTGAATAAAGTCCCCTTGACGAAACGTTTAAAATGAGGTAGTTACACTACTTTCAGTAACAATTGAAGTATTCGATACTCGGAACATATTTCAACAAAGTAGCGGATGTAGCATCGCATTTATCATTTCGGGTATGATGCGCATGCAAACTTACACCAACACACTGAACTGAAAATAAATCTGAAAACTGACAAAAGTGTCACGAAATTAGATTTACGACAAAAACACTGAGGACGGTTCATTAAAAAGGGGTTGCCGCTGAATCAGGCTTGGGCCAAACGGGAGCCTAGCGCGAGTTAATTATGTCAAAAACCTAATTGGTGAAAAAGTAATACATTCCGGAGTGGATAAGGTCTTGTTTTTGTGTGTCCTCGGGCTCGGAGCCCACATCTGGGGTATTTGTCACCGCTCTTTAGATCTGCCACGCCGACGTCATTGTCCGTCATTCGTCAATGAGTATACAGGGTGCCCCCGAACTCTCTACCGACCTTAATGATTCAAAGGAAATATCATATATTAAAATTTCCAAAACACGTCAGTTATCTATCCAAGCTGCCATTTTGTTTGTTTTTCACACTTGTTAATTTGAGAACGGGGTTTCGTAGAAAAATGCATTTCGCTACATTGATAAAATTACACAAACACAACTTTTGAGATAAACAATGTTTACATATAAGGTCCAATTTAACTGGCGTCCACCATAAATGTTAATAAACCCCACTGCAGCAAATGTGCAGACTAAGCGAATATCAATTAGATCTGTACTTAAAGATTTCTATAAACAAGACATAATATTCTTAATTTAAATACCGGTAGTATTAGATAAATAGCATACCTATTTAAATAGCATATACCTATTTATTTTATAAATAGCATACCTATGGTGGGTCATGTGCAAAGTTCAGCGTAGGCGATGAATAGCCCTTTTGGAGATTAGGATCTTGTGCGTGATTCGGATGCACTCGATTTAACTAGTGCTTATACAAAAGCCAATAGTTGTTTCTTATTCACAAAATAGTTCTTATATGGAAACAGTTTTATCGTATAGTGCAATTTGGTACATAACGTCCATAAGAAGTATCATACGCCCATATCTCATAATTCTCGAGAATCCAGTTCGTACCAAGCACACATCACATTGCGTGACAAA